GCAGTAATAAGCGACTTGCTGGTTCATCACTGTGACAAACATCTAGATAGGGCAGTAATAAGCGACTAGATGGTTCATCACTGTGACAAACATCGAACCGAGACAATATTAAGCGACTAGATGGTTCATACCTGTGAAAAACATCTAGATAGGGCAGTTATAAGCGACTTGCTGGTTCATCACTGTGACAAACATCTAGATAGGTCAGTAATAAGCGACTAGATGGTTCATAACTGTGACAAACATCTAGATAGGTCAGTAATAAGCGAATATCTGGTTCATCACTGTGACAAACTTTGAACCGAGACAATATTAAGCGACTAGATGGTTCATCACTGTGAAAAACATCTAGATAGGGCAGTAATAGGCGACTAGATGGTTCATCACTGTGATAAACTTCTGGATAGGGCAGTAATAAGCGACACGATGGTTCATCACTGTGACAAACATCTGTATAGGGCAGTACTAAGTGACAAGATGGTTCATCACTGTGACAAACATCTGGATAGGGCAGTAATAAGCGACTATATGGTTCATCAATGTGACAAACATCTAGATAGGGCAGTAATAAGCGACTAGATGATTCATCAATGTGACAAACATCTAAATAGAGCATTAATAAGCGACTAGATGGTTCATCACTGTGAATAACATCTAGATAGGGCAGTAATAGGCGACTAGATGGTTCATCACTGTGATAAACATCTGGATAGGGCAGTAATAAGCGACACGATGGTTCATCACTGTGACAAACATCTATATAGTGCAGTACTAAGTGACAAGATGGTTCATCACTGTGACAAACATCTAGATAGGGCAGTAATAAGCGACTAGATGATTCATCAATGCGACAAACATCTAAATAGAGCATTAATAAGCGACTTTCTGGTTGATCACTGTTTCAAACTTTTAGATAGGGCAGTAATAAGCGACTATATGGTTCATCACTGTGCCAAACATCTAGATAGGTCAGTAATAAGCGAATATCTGGTTCATCACTGTGACAAACATCTATATAGGGCAGTAATTAGCGACTATCTGGTTCATCACTGTGACAAACATCTATATAGGGCAGTAATAAGCGACTAGATGATTCATCAATGTAACAAACATCTAAATAGAGCATTAATAATCCACTTGCTGGTTCATCACTGTGACAAACATCTGGATAGGTAAGTAATAAGCGACTATATGGTTCATCACTGTGCCAAACATCTAGATAGGTCAGTAATAAGCGAATATCTGGTTCATCACTGTGACAAACATCTATATAGTGCAGTACTAAGTGACAAGGTGGTTCATCACTGTGACAAACATCTATATAGGGCAGTAATAAGCGACTAGATGATTCATCAATGCGACAAACATCTAAATAGAGCATTAATAAGCGACTTGCTGGTTCATCACTGTGACAAACATCTAGATAGGGCAGTAATAAGCGACTAAATGGTTCATCACTGTGACAAACATCGAACAGAGACAATATTAAGCGACTAGATGGTTCATACCTGTGAAAAACATCTAGATAGGGCAGTAATAAGCGACTTGCTGGTTCATCACTGTGACAAACATCTAGATAGGTCAGTAATAAGCGACTAGATGGTTCATAACTGTGACAAACATCTAGATAGGTCAGTAATAAGCGAATATCTGGTTCATCACTGTGACAAACTTTGAACCGAGACAATATTAAGCGACTAGATGGTTCATCACTGTGAAAAACATCTAGATAGGGGAGTAATAGGCGACTAGATGGTTCATCACTGTGATAAACATCTGGATAGTGCAGTAATAAGCGACACGATGGTTCATCACTGTGACAAACATCTATATAGGGCAGTACTAAGTGACAAGATGGTTCATCACTGAGACAAACATCTAGATAGGGCAGTAATAAGCGACTAGATGGTTCATCACTGTGACAAACATCTATATAGGGCAGTACTAAGTGACAAGATGGTACATCACTGTGACAAACATCTAGATAGGGCAGGAATAGGCGACTAGATAGATCATCACTGTGATAAACATCTGGATAGTGCAGTAATAAGCGACACGATGGTTCATAACTGTGACAAACATCTATATAGGGCAGTACTAAGCGACAAGATGGTTCATCACTGTGACACACATCTATATAGGGCAGTATTAAGTGACAAGATGGTTCATCACTGTGACAAACATCTAGATAGGGCAGTAATAGGCGACTAGATAGTTCATCACTGTGATAAACATCTGGATAGGGCAGTAATAAGCGACTAGATGGTTCATACCTGTGACAAACATCTATTTGGGCAGTAATAAGCGACTAGATGGTTCATCACTGTGACAAACACCTATATAGGGCAGTTATAAGCGACTAGATGGTTCATCACTGTGACAAACATCTAGATAGGGCAGTAATAAGCGACTATATGGTTCATCACTGTGACAAACATCTAGATAGGTCAGTAATAAGCGACTAGATGGTTCAATATGTTTTAATATAATATTTTTGATACCTCACACAACAGACACAATACAAAGACAAAATCTGTAAAATCGAAAATACAATAGCACTCTAAAGTAACTATAATTAAATTATAGATTTACACTCAAAAGAAGACGATGTAATTATCGCGAGGTTTCCTGATGAAAGGAATGTAACAACACGAGAATACTGATCGACAAACCCGGCAATAAGTGGGATCACATTGGTCTAAAAGAAGGAGTAGCGTGTCCTATGATGTGTTTTTCGAAAGTATATTTCGGTACATGTTACATTTTAATTGTCAATAATCTATAATATAAGAGTTTTATATATAAAAAAAAAAAAGTTTTTTTTTACAGGCTAACAAAGACTACGCTGTATCGCTGAAAAAGCATGTTTATATCACGTGGTGTGTACCTGACTTATCCAGTTTATGCGCGTGTAATGTCATGTGTTACACACCTGACTCATCCGTGAAAAACGTGTGATGTCACGTGGTGTGTACCTGACCTATCGTCAAAGAGCATGTGTGATGTCACGTGGTGTGTACCTGGCCTATTCACGAAGAGCATGTGTGATGTCGCGTGGTGTGTACCTATCCTATCCACGAGGATCATGTGTGATGTCACGTGGTGGTGTGTACCTGACATATCCACGAAGAGCATGTGTGATGTCACGTGGTGTGTACCTGGCCTATTCACGAAGAGCATGTGTGATGTCACGTGGTGTGTACCTATCCTATCCACGAGGATCATGTGTGATGTCATGTGGTGGTGTGTACCTGACCTATCCACGAAGAGCATGTGTGATGTCACGTGGTGTGTACCTGACCTATCCACGAAGAAATGTGTGATGTCACGTGGTGTGTACCTGACCTATCCATGAAATACATGTTTGATGTCACGCAGTGTGTAGCTGACTACTTTTCCTTGACGTGTAACTTTACGTTACGTAACTGACGATTTCATTTATTCAAAACTTTTAATTTTACCATGTAATAAATGCATAAACCTACTTGTACAGATTCCTAAACAAAACGGACATCACAGCAGCGCCGAGTCCTGTACCGGAAATCATGATCATTTCCGCTAAATGCCGTTTCCGGCGGAAATAACGTCCAACAATAATATTGGCAGAAGTAAGAGTTATTCCACTTCCCAATGAAAGCACGACGCAGTGACTGATAAATAACTGATCCATTTCGGTTGAGAAGGCTAAAAACAAGCACCCAAGGGAACAGATAAGGCCCCCAATGACGGCGTACAGTCTCGGGCTTTTTCGTTGACAGATTGTGGCGATGATAGGCGAAAGGAAAAGCGTGATGCTGACACCGACACTTCCGAGCCATGCTGAAACAGAATAGGACACGAATTAGCACAGGAGACTCATAGGAATATACCGATAATGTGCGTCGAGAACCAGCAACGAGTGTTTGAACAAAGAAAACGCGTTCATGGTTCTTCACGTGCGATGTCAGTTTTATGAGTTATTGAATTGTAAAACCGACTGTAGATCAGATATATATTGCAAATCTACTACTTAGAGACGGACGTCCTGATATAATCTAACGCACTAATAGGACGTCAAACTCTAGAAAACCAAACCAAACTAAAGTTATTAATGAATTGTAAAGTTAATGCCAACGTTAATTTATAGTCATTTGAACCAAATGTTGTTGATGTTTTCATATAGGGATACATATATCTTTATAGAATGTAAGTGATTCTATTCCGACCAATACAAGTACATAAAATGATAATGTCTAAATGCTTTACATACGTGACACAGATACAGATATACTATAACCACATGACATAATACATCATACGGAATCAGCCCCCTAACCAGAAGACACGGAAGAAAACCACCAACTCTGCAGGGGGCCCGAATGAGTCGCCTCTAATGACACCCAGTGTGGTTCAGCAGATATGTTCTTTTCACGAACTGTACAGTAGTTTCCAAAACATACAATATGTATGTTTTGGAAAATAAAACAACTTTTAAGCTAACATGTTAGCATGTAATACGTTTAATATACATGAACGAATATTAAACACTCACAAGAAGCAAGTGAAAAGAAGCAAGTTAAGACGATATCTGTAGAGAGCTGAACGTGCTGTTATGTCCCTATACCTGTCGGAGAGATGATATAAAACGCTAACGAAAACGAGTAAACAATGCGAGGAAACAGATATTACAGACCGCAGTGATGGTAATAAGAGCGAGAAAACAAAACAATGCCCCAGATCGATCGCCGCCATCATGGTGCTATATGGCGCATGGCGGACACCTCTACCGTCTGTCTTTCCTCGAGATCGCATCGTCTCTCGAGGGGGTATATTAGTATTCATGGGTGGACTGAAAACATGGACTGCACTGGAATATACGTATTCCAATGTAATTCCAATGTATCTGACATAAATACACTTGTACCAATGTACCTTACAAACGCTTACCAATGTACTTGACACACGTGTACCAATGTGCCTTACAAACGCTTACCAATGGACTTGACACACGTGTACCAATGTAGCTTACAAACGCTTACCAATGAACTTGACACACGTGTACCAATGTACTTTACAAACGCTTACCAATGTACTTGACACACGTGTACCAATGTACCTTAAACAAGCGAGTACTAATGTACCTTACAAATCCATGCACGTGCATCAAACTACCTGACACAGAACTACAGATGTACAAGTGTCCCTGAAAGAAAACACACGTGTACCAGTGTAGCTGATATAGAAATACACATGTACCAATGTACCTGACACAATGATACACATGTACCAATGTACCTGACAATGATACACTTGTACCAATGTACCTGACACAATGATACACATGTTCAAAAAGTACCTGACACAATGATACACATGTACCAATGAACCTGACACGATGATACACATGTACAAATGTACCTGATACGATGATACACATGTACCAATGTATCTGACATGATGATACACATGTACCAATGTACCTGAAACAATGATACACATGTACCAAAGTACCTGACACAATAATACACATGTACCAATGTACCTGACACAATGATATACATGTACCAATGTACCTGACACAATGATACACATGTACCAATGTACCTGACAATGATACACATGTACTAATGTACCTGATACAATCATACACATGTACTAATGCACCCGACACAGTTATTAATAAATTGACCCGTGTCATAGCGGACCTGATGCTATAAGAACCATCGATTCATGTGAATTGAAGAGTTCTCATAACGAACACATCAGGCAAACGAGAATTTAGGTGAACGTATCGTGTACATATCAATCATACGGTCTACGAGATAGTGATGAGGCATGAATTCAGCTCGAGTAATCCTCGACAAATTAACTACATGTGTATCCAAATGATCGTAAACACATCCATATTACGAGTGAATTTTACTTCACTTGACGTGGTCAGATTAGCTACAGGTGAGGTCCACTGATGTGATCATGAGACGCATTGATTGCACGTGAAATTGTCATGTTTCGTAGTCACATCGATTACACGTGAAATTGACTTTTATCGATAACACATCGATTTCAAGAGGATTTCATGTTAATCGTAAACATATCGAGTGCAAGTGAAGCTAACATTTATCGTAAACATACTGATTATACGCGAATCTCATAGTAAACACACATCGATTGTGCGTGTGTTTTACTGTTATCGTTGACCCATCGAATACACGTGAAGCTACACATTTATCGAAAACACATCGATAACACGCAAATTTCATAGTAAACACATCGATTACACATGAATTTGACTTTTATCGAAAATACATCGATTGCACATGGATTTCACTTTGATCCTAGAAATATCGTTTGCACGTGCACCTAACAGATATCGCAAACACATCGAACGCATGTGATTTTAATTGAAAACACATCTATCGCACGTGAGTTTAATCGTAATATCGATTACACGTGCATTTGATTTTCATCGTAAACACAACGATTGCACTTAAATCTAACATTTATCGTAAATACATTAATTACACGTGAATTGAACTCTTAGAAACATTAAAGAGATTCACACACTTATCATCGGCTGACCTATACACACGCGGGTTGATTGATGGCCAGTCCAGCGTTTCCTTTAGATAGAAGATATACAGCGATACAAGTCTGTCTGCCATCACTCGCAGCCTACATGGACGTATCAGTCAGACGTTTGTCAAATCTAATAGCTTAACATCCAAACAATCAACAAGGTACCTATGTCTGCTAGCATTGTGTTGTTGTAGTCAGCTAGTTACTTACTCTGTGTGTAGTATATAACTAAAATATAAGTTATATTGTATTGCCATGCCAAGAAGTGGTACCGAGCATAAAGTGCTACTCTTGTACGTATGAACGTCCGTTCGGACGGCTTATCGTCTTCATATGATCCGAACTGTTGCAAGGACGTAAAACCCTTTAATTATAATAATAATGATAAACAGGGCGGTTAAATGGTTGCGTTAAGGTTAGTTTATGGTTTAAGTTCTGCAGCTAGGGTCACGCACCTTCACATCTTTACGAACCCTTTAAGAGTAGAACATTTTGCACAACATTTTTGTGACCTTTAACCTTAACCTCTTTGACCTAGATGAAGGTTTCAGTCGGTATCGACTAAGAGTTGCAGTTAGGTTCACAAAGCATCACGTTCGTATGTGCCTTTTTGTAGGAATTAGCATACGTCGTATTTGTCTATCTTTGGCTCAACTTTGTGTCCCGTATTTGCCGTCTATCCAGCCATGCATCTCATATTTGGTTTTTTCGTTGCTGTTTATCTTATATAATTATGTCCCTGGTTGACCCGTTTGTGTACCCCGTATACTCAGCCTCTGTTAACCCGGTTGGGCACCCCGTATAATAAACCACTGTCTACCCGAGTATGCACCCCGAACTATTAGCTCAGTTGTGCAACAAATCATTAGGCGAGGGTGTAATCTCGTAGATATTTACTAATGCTTAACACATATGATATAGATTGTTTAAAACTCTATCAAAGTCAGCAAAAATAAAATCTTGAATCTGATTGAATTCTAACACATAATGCGCATGCAAGCCTACATGCGACACAGGTCAACAAGTGTAGTGTCTTAAGAAAATGAACTGACAGCTACTTCAAAAACGTTTGGCCGCACTGTGAATTGGTCGTATTTTATATCATTTGGCGCCATTCTAACGTCTGTCGAAAGACGTCAATGTCTTGGTGCGAAAAGGTCGCACGCTAACCGAGCATGCAGACGACAGATCGATAGATCCCTCCTTTTGTTGTTGTGAGTCATGGCCTGGAGTAACTGACCTTACCGATTTACTGACCTCATCGAGTTGCCTTTACGGTAACCTGACATCACGGAGTTACTGACCTCACCTAGTTACTGACCTCACCGAGTTGCCGTTACAGTAACTTGTCTGGACAGAGATTGCCTAGACGAAACGGTTACCTCATCGGGGTGTATCTCTGAGTGCCAACATTTTTTATTTATCTGTAGGGCAATGTTTTGATAGGAATTATAGTCTGTTTTAGCTCAACTGGCCGGAAGGGCCATGTGAGCTTACGCCGTACTGCGGCGTCCGTTGTCCGTCCGTCGTCTGTCCGTCAACTTTTTCTTTTGAACGACTTCTTCTGAAGAACTGGAGGACCTAAGGTCATGATATTTGGCCCGTAAGTTCCTCATTAGAATGACCTTGACATACTTTAACGGTCACGGGGGTCAAATATGTTAAAAACTTCAAACAACAATATCCTAAGAACCATCTGGACTAGAGTCATGATACTTGGGTATGCTATGCAGACCAGCAGTGTTAGTCGTTTTTCTTCATTACAGTAATGAGGACAAATATCAACTTTAAGTGCTAGCTGGAGTCAAAGGTCAACGTGGGTTAAAAACTATAAAAATTGAAATTTCAAATTTCAGATAACAATTTCTAAAGAAGCGTTTAAGAGATCTATGTTAAAATGTCTTATGTTCTAGTAACCAAAGTTACCTATATGTCAGTTTCATGTAACAAAAGAAGCAGGTAAGCGATACAGGCCCTCTGGGCATTTTGTCTTAAATATTATCTGAGATCCAACAGGTAAATCTACCTGTAAAACTTGCATGTGATAAAAAAACAAGAGGCCCAGAGGGCCTGTATCGCTCACCTGAATATTTAAAACAGTCATAGCAAAATATTCTCATTCAATATTATATTGCACTACAAATATTTTCCTCGCAAACTTTGTCGGCTCCATCTGTTGAAACTACCAGCCAAATATTATTATAAGATTCTATCCTTTTTGGTTCTTCTTCAGAAGTTAATTGACATATTTTCCCCTGTGACTT